TATTTTTGTAATGATATGAGTTTACAATCAACTACATCAGGAGGTTACACATATCCTCTAGCGAATGAAATATCAAGACTGCCTATATGGCCCACATATACTGAAGATTCCGATGGAAACCCAATATGTAAATCTATTGTAGATCCTGATACGTATCTAATTCCAAAGCCTTCAAATTCACGAAAAGAATTTACATTTTATCCGCCGAAAAATAAGAATGTTTATTACTATAACACAACAAACATTAACAAAATACGATCATTATTGGATTTTGCGAACGCTAAAGATCGAGATGAATTAGAATATGTTAGAGATATCATTATATCTGATATGGAATCAATCCCTTCAAATCTTCAAGAATCTTATTTAAAGCTTTTAACTGAAATATTTTTAGACTCTGCTAAAATCTATGGAGTAAAAGATTATTTAAAAGATTTAAAATTCGTTCCAAATAAGCATTTTAAACTTATTTGCGCAAGAGATTTATATGATCAAAATCATCAATTATTTAAATTTATATATGATGATGATCGATTTCTTCATAATAGGCTTCAAGATAATTCGAATTCTTTAAATTTTCTTAAAGAAATTGGATTAAAAGCAGATGCTAATGAATACCTATTTATTAGATGTGCTGAAGAGATTGCGACCAAATTTGAGAAAAGTAAAGAAAATAAGGATAGTTTATCCAATCTCAGAAATATTAAAAATTCGGCAAAAAAGATGGTTTTTTATTTTTACGATCATTCTGAATTAAAATTTACTGAAGAGGAATGGAATGAATTAGTAAATATTAAATTTATTCCAATTACAAAATTTAAATTTGGTCCAAATAAATTTTTAAATGATTTATACTCTCGTTATTCTCGTTATGGTGAAAGTTCTGATTATGAATTAGAATGTTTTAAAAATATGTGTCATCCAAAATATGTGAGTCTTGTGTGGACTCAGTTAGCATTTTTTGAAGATGAACCACCTGAAGAAATTTTAAAAAAATATGAAGATTTTGAAATACCTCTTGGTATACCAACTATTCCAACGATCATTGATCATTTAAAAGCAATCCAATCAACAGTATCCAAGTCGAATGATTGGAAAGAATTAGGTGAATTAGGCGGTCGTTTGTTATTTGATGAGTTAGGACAAATATATAAAAAGCTAGA